GTTATTATTATTATTATTACTACTATTATTATTATTATTATTATTATTAGAAGAAGAAGAAGAAGAAGAAGAAGAAGAAGAAGAAGAAAAAGAAGAAGAAGGAGGAGGAGGAGGAAGAGGAGAAGAAGAGGAGGAAGAAGAAGAATTGCATTTGTGTAGCGCATATCCACGCTGTACAGCATGCTCTGTGCGCTATTCATCTAGGTATTAGTACCACAGCAGACTGTCGAACATTCAGAAACATTATCGGCTTCCTGCGAAGCATACAGTGCAAGCTATGGATTTCACGCGCCCAAACACTAACAAACTGTTAAGATCTTTCGCTGTCTGTAGCCGAGTACTCACCCATTCCCACCTAGGTGAAGTGAAGAACGTTTGCGTGAAGTGCTTTTCTCACGGACAGAACGTCGGACCACTAACAGGAATCGAAGTAACGACGTCGGTTATAAGTCCGAGAGCCTAAATACTGAACCACGACGCTTATAATGCGTTTTTCAAGGATGATTGAGAGGGGCTCTCGTGGTCAAGAGGTACAGTGTCCGCCTCTCATTCAACAGGTCCCGGGTTCGAAACCTGACAGGGACTGCAATTTTTTTTTCTCTGAAACGTTTCCTTTCACCTCTTATCCTGCTTTCTAACCATATTCTGTCGTCTGTTTTCGTCTCCTTTTTCTGTCCCCTCCCCCTTCTCTTCCCTTCCTCTGGGCTCCTGACACTTTCTGCAGCCTTTCTACTGCTTCTCCTTGGCTTCTTACTTCTGTATTTTTGCCCCACCCCTGATCTTATGGTAGCCAAGATCAAACACTTAGCCTTCTTGGATGAGGGTGAAAATCTCGGAGATCTCGAGTGCAAGTTGCACATGTTAAAGATCCTTTGGTGGACGAAAATCGAGAGTTAGCTTCGGCCGCCAGCCCGGCAAATTTCAAAAGTAATTCCTAGCCAACTGAAAATGCTTGATGCGTCCCCCCGCTCATATGACCTTATGCAGTTGCGAGCGCTTTAAAACACTTACCAGAAAAAGATTGGTTGTGCTTTTCTACCGAGTGTTTAAAAATTGGACCCATATAAAGAGCGATAACTCTGTTATCTTCCAACCAATTTCAACAAAACCTCGAATTAATGTTGTTGGGGTTTTTTTTAATTCAACCAGGAGGGCGTCGTATTTGCCAATAGACTTTTTAAAAAAATTCAATTAACATATTTTAAAAAATATGAAGTTTTTCTTTTCAATTTCAAACAAAATTGGATGAAATGCAAAACTTTGTAGCTTCTTAAAAATCAACCATGTTGTTGTACTTCAAAATACCACTATGTGTGTACTGAATAGCAAATTTGAACTGATATTGCCAAAGAACCCCAGGGAAGATACAGATAACTATATATAGATCTAGATTGTATGTACATATCAAGTGTTGAGTGTTGACTATATAATAATTTAGTCTCTCCATAAAAAGCTCCAGTAGATTTCTACGCGACTTTTTGAATTATTACCGTGTGGCATGTTTCTGGCTCCATTTTCAGGACCTTCAGTTCAACATTGCGTTTCAGCTGTTTATTGGATGTTTGAGGGTTGTTTCCTTAGACAGTCCAACCCCCCC